TTGCACATTTTAGAGCCAGTCTCCTCTGCTGTGGCATCAGCAGCAGTAATTTCAGGCGTGTAGTCAAAACAAAAACAAAAAGTCGCCACTTGCATGTGAATTGGGTAGTTTAACTTAATAATACTTTTACAGCCTAATTCCTAATTCCCTCTTTCTTTTTAGACGAAGTCTATAATCAATAATCACTTTTTACACAGATTCTAATTTAAATGTTTGAAAAACGGCTTTTGTAACTAAAATAAAAAATACATGAAAAAATTCTCACTAACAGCTATGAAATATATCAGAGATACAATAATGGACTCACAAATAAGCAGCAGATAAGCAAAGCTTTAGCACTAATATTTGGGTTTCAAAAACATACTAATTCAAAACTTCTATTCCCTAATGGTGTTTAAAAACGTTTAACTGTGTCTAACACAATGTTCAAATGGCAAATTTCGCAAATTTAACGGAATAACAACTATGAAAAGCCAGAAATCCTAAAGCAGTAGCTCTGATTCAGAGCCAGAGCAGCGAAGGAGGGGGCCGTTTCCCTGATAACGGCAGCAAGATAGAGCACACACACAGGCAGAAAGTAGTGTTTCAGCAAAAATGCTAAAACAGAAAGAAGAATAACTTTCAAGATTACTTTGTTAAGCAAATATAACTGATGTTGTTCTTTAAACTTTTGTCATCCAAGTCTAGAAATGGCCACTTTCCACACTAGTAACAAAAGGCACTCTTGTCTTTAACGTTTACGCTTCTATTTTATCGAGGTAGCTAATTTAAACTCAAAATCTCTTTCTAAAAAACAATAACAACTGTTGGATACAACCTTCTCATAGCTTAACTGTAGATAAAACTCGCCAAAAAATGTAAATAACTCACGAAAGCTCTCATAGCTCAACTTTAGATAAAACTCTGCATTCTCCGGTGAACTCTGTTCACTCCAAAAAACAAAAACTCCCTTTTTCTGTATGTAATTTAAACCGTGATCACTGAAATATTGTTGCTTATGTACTTTTGTCATTTATCAGCCTGAAATTCGTCAATTTCCAAGCTTTTGTAACAAAGGCCTCTTTAACACATTTCCCTTTTTATTGCTTTTATTATTACACCATGGTTTCACTAACTATTTTCTATTCTCTATTCTCTGCCCCGGCTACTCCAAAGGCAGGGACCCCGATACATCAGGGGTTCCTTTTTCTCTCTGTCCTGACTACTTCAAAGGACAGGGACCCCGATACGTCAGGGGTTCCTTTTTCTCTCTGTCCTGACTACTTCAAAGGACAGGGACCCCGATACGTCAGGGGTTCCTTTTTCTCTCTGTCCTGACTACTTCAAAGGACAGGGACCCCGATACGTCAGGGGTTCCTTTTTCTCTGTCCTGACTACTTCAAAGGACAGGGACCCCGATACGTCAGGGGTTCCTTTTTCTCTCTGTCCTGACTACTTCAAAGGACAGGGACCCCGATACGTCAGGGGTTCCTTTTTCCTATAGGGACTGGTTACCCACACAGCTAACCTGTTTTCTACAACATAAGACATGACAAAGACGTGACAAAGACACAACAAAGAAAATTTGATTTAGAGATATTTGGACAGACCTCCGGGACAGCTCAAAATTTAGCTAGTATCCAATTATGCAGACTTTACATATTAAAAAAGGTGTCTGCTTACCTTATTTTCTTTGTCCGGACTGTTCGAGAGGTCAGCCAACATATTTCCGCGTCGAAAAATTCAATTTAAACACAAAACAGAGAAAGTGAGGGAGCAAGAGCAAGCCCATCCAAAAGCGAGCCCTTTCAGCGTCCGCTGGGATTTCTCCCCTTCCAGATAACGTGCTGTTGCTCCCACACGCCGAAAAAAAGAAACAGAGGAAATTCCCTCAAAACAATCCAGAGAATGGCACACACGGAGCCGCGCATTCTCCACCAAATCTGTTAGGATTTAGCAGACAGAGACGGATCGTGGTGTGCCAAACTCTGGAAGTTTATTTATGTTTCTCTCAAGTTCCACTGGTTTACTCTGCTTCCTTCTCTCAGACAGAATAAAGGCAGTACACAGTTTATATAGTCATTGTCACGTCACACATGGAAAGACATACGTGTCACAAAGAGACAGTCACATCATAGTCATAACATGGAGTCCTTGTAGAGTCCTTGTACAGTCCTGCACGTAGGCCATATTGCTATCTAATACTAACACCTGCTATGAGATTATTGATTGTACAATAGCACTATGAACTTTCACTTAAATGATTAAGTACAAATAGTTAAGCATTTTTCATTGTCTTAATTATAGAAACTTTTGTAGAATAGTTATTGTGATATAGTAGCATCCTATTGCACTTTTAATTATGAAGCGATGTGCATCCCATTTGAATATGTATTGACTTTGTGTACACATGGATTAATGACAAATTACTGATATATTTTTTATAGTAATTTAGAAATGTATTATTGTAGTTTTGAAGTAATTAGTATTATGTTTAGTGTATATACTAAATGGAGTTAATGAGGGTACTGTTCTGTTATACAGGCCAGGTTTTGATGGCGAGCTAAAGAACTGGAACTAGTCCTGGACCTGCTTGGAAACCTGAACCCACCTACCTCAATAGGGCTGGTAGGAGGCTCTTGCAGCCAACCATACAAACTCTCTCACCTTGCACTTTATCCACGACCCCAACCATTGCCTCCTTTTCACTCCTCACACGGACACTTACCTCTGGACTCAAAACAATTCTCGGGTCGTGTGGATTTCGCTCTGTTGAGCGCGTGCAGTTTCAATTGCGTTGTGCGAGTGGCCCACGGGTCACGTGTAAATATTGAACTCTAAACCTATGACTTGTGTATATATATATTGCCTTCTGTGTATTGAGTGTATTTGGGATTTGAGTATGTGTGAATGGCCATTCTAATTCTATTGTCAATATTGTCTAATTGTGTACAATACATGGTACCTTTTTAATATGCAACTACAAACCCAGTCTTTGCCTCTTCTCTCCCTGAGTCTTATCTATTCTTTCTGAGTTGAACTAGCCTAACTACTGAACTTGTTGAACTACTATTGTGAGTATTTATTGTAACTAGCTATTTATTTAGCAACATAAGTGCTACACCTGGGTTCGAATCCCGGTTGGACCAGGGCCTTTCTGAGTGGAGTTTGCATGTTCTCCCCGTGTCTGCGTAGGTTTCCTCCGGGTGCTCCGGTTTCCCCTACCACTAAAAATATGTACAGTAGGTCTGACATGTGCCTCCTGTACTGGCGCCCCCACTCCCAAAAATAACAATTGTAAACCGCTTTGAGACTCTGATGTGCAGTGAAAAGGTTATTATTGTTATAACAATAACACTCTGTTATAACAATTGTATTGGCAGTAATCATTCGTTTTTACAAAGTCATATTGTATGTAAACAATGCACACATGTGATAAATGATTTATGATTGATTTATTTGCTATGGCCTTGTTTGTGCATCACTTACATAAATGTAATAACGTGTGTTTTCTGATGAGAAAGGAATGTCCATGGATCTATAATAATAATGTCCATGGATCTATAATAATATCCATGGATCTATAATAATAATATCCATGGATCTGTAATAATAATATCCATGGATCTATAATAATAATATCCATGGATCTGTATTATAACGAACTGCTCTTTTTGAAGTCTTGAAAAGCAACAGACTGTTACTGATCAGATTAGAGTTGAATGTATTCCATTAGAACTTTAAGTACTGCTGACAAATATGTACCTGTGTAAATAATACCTTATTTTTCATGACTCTTTACACTTCAGACACAAAACACTACATTATAATAACACCAACAATTTTTATTTTTTATTTCCAGGCTCTCTATGAAGGTGTCGGAGGCAGACGCCCAGGACTCTGCTGCTGCTGCTGCTGCTCCTCCTGCTGCTGCTCCTGCTGCTGCTCCTGCTGCTCCTCGTCTTCGGAGATGCAGATCCCACTGTTCTAACTATTCATGACTGATGATTAAATAGAAGCTGGAGGTGATGGAGGTGAAGCTGGAGGTGAAGCTGGAGGTGAAGCTATGCCGTATGATTTTGTTGCTGTCAGAGAAAGTTCCATTTCACCAAAAGTCTCTGAAAAAGAACAAACATCATGTTAAAACACAGACACTGAGGAGGAACAGACACTGAGGAGGAACAGACACTGAGGAGGAACAGACACTGAGGAGGAACAGACACTGAGGAGGAACAGAAGAATAATATATTGGACATATACACACAAATAAAACTTAGAAGCATGGCTAACCACTTTAAACCTTTTGGAAGTGAGACTGTCATCTGCAAATGTCCTTTATTAATGACAAAAGAAACATGCGTCAAGACGCTCGAAATCTCAAAACACGCCGCGCCAAACGTGCAAAACGCTTGAAGACGCGCCACGTGATCTCTTGACGCTCCTAGACGCGCGTCCCCCATGTTATGTCAATGTAAACCCGACGCTTTGGACGCTCAAGACGCGTTTGGTCTGAACGCACCTTAAAATCAACAATAACCACAGCAAGGTGTAAGATTGCTATGTGCAAAGGAAAATATATATATATAAAAATAAAATAATAATAATAATGATAATAAACGTATAAAGGCGTGCCATCCCATTTTTAATCTGTAAACTAAATACTGTGTTAAGGGGCATGAACATAAGACTTTGTCTTCCACATGCTCCTATTCAGCAACATGTAATGGAACTGAACTATTTGTGTTATTATTATTTTCATTATGATTGTAATAATGTCATGGCTGAATAAATAAATAAATAAATAAATAAATAAATAAATAAATAAATAAATAAATAAATAAATAAAAATGAAGTTTTCGGCCACACGATGACGCAGTTGCTCGAGCCTTGCACAGAACATGTGGCAGCTGTACCCGGAAGAGTTGCATTACCTGAAGTCTGTTCAAGCTTTTATTGACTTTGTCTAAACAATAAAAACAATCTGTAACAAACTACTACATCTTACGGACCGTGCAGCAGCCATGGCGGCTCGGCTCCCGGCGTCTGAGCTGGACTGCGGAGCGGGGTAACGTTAAAGACCAGAGTCAGAGTCTGATATTAGCATTAGCAACATTAGCTGTTTTAAATCAGCTGTTGTTAGCGTTAGTGAAGAATATGACATGTCCTGGGATCGCGTCTTTAATTCAGACAGAAGACATGTTTTATTGTCGATGGTAGAGACAGCACGAACAACACGAACAACAGAATGCAAGTGTATTATACAGAGCGGAGGCATGGAGACCTCCAATCAGCAGCTTCCACGGTGCCATGTAGCTTGGCCTTCAGATAGACAAAACAAGGGAAAAGTACTGGCTTCTGCACATTGATAGAATGATGAGTTTAACTTTAACAAAAGTTGCTTAAAAGTGTTATGAAATCTCACATTAGAAACATTAGCTGTTGTTAGCATTAGCAACATTGGCTGTTATTAGCATTAGTTTAATAAGCTGTTGTTAGCATTAGCAACATTAGCTGTTGTTAGCATTAGCAACATTAGCTGTTGTTAGCATTAGCATCATTAGCTCCTCAGCCTCACACACAGCGGCTTCAGACTGCAGCTCACTCCCTGTGTTTCCTCTGACTGTTTAGCAGAGGTGGGACAAAGTCATTGTTTAGCAAGTCACAAGTCAGTCTCAATTCATTGCCCTCAAGTCCCGAGTCAAGTCACGAGTCAAGACAGGCAAGTCCCGAGTCGAGTCCAAGTCAAAGGCCAACAAATCTCAAGTCAGTCCCAAGTCCTACGGTTTGACTTTCGAGTCCTCTCGAGTCTTTTTGACCGCGATTTGTTTCTTGTTGGTCTCCACGTACTTTTGTAGGCAAACAAAATAATGTTAGGAATCATTTTGCTGGTGCATTCTCGTTGGTCTCTGACCCATGGACTAACAGTTTGTTCCATGTCGTTGGCTGCTGGTAAATCAAAACTATCTACGTGATCTAATTGGATGTTGTGCCAGATGCAGGCTCAGTTACACATGCACAGACCACACATAAAATCAGAGCAGTCCATGTCAACATACTTTTTATCTTTGGGGTTTTTAATGGGAAGTAGCAAGTGCAGCAGTGCAGCATATATGAATATGAGTATTGGGCTAGGACCTGTATCTATATAATCAGTTTAATGTCCGTAGTGGTTATTGTTCCAAAGGACTGAAGGGACCAATGGAGGGGAAGGACCCCGGCCTGTATGAACTGGGCCAGCATTAGTAATATCTCATAATTACCAATATATCATTACATAATAAAATGTCTCATATAAATTAATTCAATCAGTCAAAGCACTGATTCTCATATCAATGCACCATAAACAATAGTGCAAATATTAATCTAGCTTAGTGCACATAATCAAAACAACTATCTAATGTATGCAAACTTTAGCAGGAGGAGCACAGCAAAAACATACTCATAATAATAGGCCTCGGCGCCCACACAGAAAAATATAAGAAATAGCCAACAGAGCAGCGCAGGCTAGCGCTAGTTTGACTCACCAGTTCCTCTTTAAAACACGGCACACAGTGTGACAACTGCGTCGATTCAATTGTATGAGGCGCCTGTAGTGAAAGCATATCAATTACGGTTTGTAGAACAAAATATGACGTTAGGTTGCGATAAATACCTGCAGCTCGCTCATTTCCAGCTCCCCTAGACAACACACCCACCGGTGAATGCAGTCCGCTTGTTTAGGGAAGTGTTGCTGCGCGAACCGCGGGGAACTCACGTTCGAACTCTCGCGCGAGCGCTACAACTACCGCGAGACTTTGTTTCTTCAGAGACGGCATAGAAAGAGAGATGCGGAGAAAGGTAAAAATGGCCCGGGTTACGCAAGTCTTTGCAAGTCAATTGGCGCAAGTCCAAGTGAAAGTCAGAGTCATTGATGTTAAAGTCCAAGTCGAGTTGCAAGTCTTTTTACATTTGGTCAAGTCGAGTCTAAAGTCATCAAAATCATGACTCGAGTCTGACTCGAGTCCAAGTCACATGACTCGAGTCCACACCTCTGCTGTTTGGTCTGCTGTGTGTCTTTATATTAAACAACAGTGTTTGTATTTGACTCATTAACCGCGGGTTGATTAGACAAGATGAAGCTAATTAAGATGAGCCATTACAGCCAACCGCAGTGGGACGTTTCTTTATTCATAGTTATACATAAATTTATGAGGATCTCAAACAAAGTAGATTAGTCTTTCATCAGCGCAAACTTGAATCAACACAAATTTAGTTCCTCCTCAACAACTTTTGTGATAATAAACCAAATATGAAAATCTGTGACTATTTTCAGGGTAAAATACTGAATAGTGGTTTATTTCTCCAGAGAAACGTAATGGTCTTTGGTCTCTCTCTCTCTCTCTGGTCTCTTTCTCTGGTCTCTCTCTCTCTGGTCTCTTTCTCTGGTCTCTCTCTCTCTGGTCTCTTTCACTGGTCTCTCTCTGGTCTCTCTCTTTCTCTGGTCTCTCTCTCTCTGGTCTCTTCCTCTGGTCTCTCTCTTTCTCTGGTCCTGCACTCCCGCAGTGACTTCAGAAGACTTATTTTAAAGTTTATAGTTAGTTTTGAGACATTCCTTTCTTCACCTTGTTTATGTGAACAGTATGAGATGAGGTCAGTATGGCAGACTGGACAACAGTCTGCACAATACTCAGGGAAATGCAGTTAGACACTAAACACGGCGTTCTTGTTGGCGGTGGAAACTGGGTCTATTGTGATGGTGTGTTTCATCTGGTGATGTGTCTTTTGCAGGAGTTCGACGTTTGGTTCGACTGAAAACACAGCAACATGTGAGTTACTACTTCAAGGTATTTTGAAACTTTTTCATCTTTTCCGTCAATGTTTCACCAGGATTGCATCTTTTATCAGTGATTTTAAGGCTTTAAGTCGAATCCAGTAGGAATGATATGGCTGCACTATTTTCATAGTGCAGCCATATCCCTTGTTTTACGACCCAAAACACCCGAACCACAAAGTCCTCAACCGAAAGAAGCCCACATTGTCTAGTAATGTATAAATTAATATAGTCTTTGTCCTCTGCCCCACTGTCTCCTGCAGGTGTCCTCGTCCCCTCTGTGTCCTCTGTCCCACTGTCTCCTGCAGGTGTCCTCGTCCCCTCTGTTTCCTCTGCCCCACTGTCTCCTGCAGGTGTCCTCGTCCCCTCTGTGTCCTCTGTCCCACTGTCTCCTGCAGGTGTCCTCGTCCCCTCTGTGAGTTCTGGTCTGAAGCAGGAAAACCCAGAAAGTCCACAGATCAGCGAGGAGCCAGAGGAACATGGCATCAAACTGGAGGAAGATCTGCTGCAAATGTGAGTCTGTGTCTGTGCTGAAACTGCAGCATGTTTAAAACAATGAGCTGAGCCCAGATCTGTTGTGTGGATGCAGAACTGTGGGAGTGAAGGCAGAAGAACACAGTCTGCTCCAGGAAATCCCACAAAGTCCACAGACTAAAGAGGAGCCAGAGGAAGTGAGGATCAAACACGAGGAGGAGCCGCTGTGAGTCTCTGTCATCATTCTACATATTTACTGATGATTGTCATGTGTGTGAAGACAGAAGAGTGGTCACTGCCTCAAAGACAAAGTGAGCACAGAGAGGAGACACAGGGAGAAGACATCAGCCCAGAGTCTGAGGGAGACACAGAGCACTCCTCTGACCACCACCAGGATGAAGACCTTCATCTTCAGCCTGTGTCCTCAGAGACAGATGATGATGGAGACGACCACCACAGAGTCCAGAGCAGAGCCACAGATGGGCCTCACACAGGAGACAAACCCTTCAGCTGCTCCGTCTGCGACAAAGCTTTTTCAAAAAAGAGATATTTGAAAGAACATATGAGGACACACACAGGAGACAAACCCTTCAGCTGTTCAGTCTGTCACCGGGGATTTTCACTGAAGTACACTCTCACTTTACACTTGAGGACTCACACAGGACACAAACCCTTCAACTGTCCAGTCTGTGAAAAGGCTTTTTCCAAAAGAAATATTATGAATAGACACATGCAGATACACACAGGGGAAAAGCCTTACATTTGTGCAATCTGTAATAAATCATTTACTCGAAATGACACACTTACACAACATTCAAGAACACACACAGGAGGAAAACCTTTCAGCTGTTCATTCTGTGGCAAAGCCTTTTCCACTGGGGGTACTTTTAATAAACACATGAGGACACACACAGGTGAAAAACCCTTCAGCTGTGCAGTCTGTGACAAGACATTTTCCTATCGACGCTCTCTCACTGAACAGATGACACACACAGGGGACAACCCGGCTTAGAGCTGTCCTTTCTGTGACAAACCATTCACACACAGGAGTCCCCTTTAATGTACATGTGAGAACACACACAGGTGAAAAACCTTTCAGCTGTTCAGTCTGTGGCAAAGCCTTTTCCACTCGAGGTTATTTTAATGTACATATGAGGACACACACCGGTGAAAAACCCTTCAGCTGTTCAGTATGTGGCAAAGCCTTCTTACTGAAAAGCCATCGTATTTCACACATGCGGACACACAGGGAAAAGGCAGATGCGCAATCTGAACCGTCGCCAGAAACACAACACACAGGACGACACACAAACATTAGAAAACATTTAACAAACCATTTCCCCAAAGGCCCTGCAGGTTGTAGCCTGTGATCTGAGATAAAACGCCAGCAGTGGGTTATGGATATAGTTAATTTTGAGTTGTTCACAAAAAACATTCACAAAACCAAAGAGAACCATCAACTCTGTGTGTGTGTGTGTGTGTGTGTGTGTTAGATGTTGCTTTTTATAAGACAATACAAAAATAAAACATGTCTATTAGTACTGCTTTCTTCTTTTATTTCCCTCGTCTCCTGTTGCTGCGTCTCGATACCTGTCCAACTTTTTCAAGACTGTTATGTGTTAGACTTTTATCAATACGTGCTCACGGATAAGAAACTATAATTAATAAAATATCAAACCCTGGTGTAAGGTCATCTGTGACATGTTAGTGCTACATGAATCACCTCTGAATCAGAGGAGCACAGGGACTGGACTCCTGCTGGGACTCTGAGGAGCACAGGGACTGGCCTCCTGCTGGTCCCAGAGTCAGGACTAAACATGAGGAGGTAGTGTTTCACTTATTTGCAGCTAAAATCCTCCTAAAAATGCGAGACAGGCTTTTTCTCTGACAGGTAGTGTTTCACTTATTTGCAGCTAAAATCCTCCTAAAAATGCGAGACAGGCTTTTTCTCTGACAATGTTAAAATCCAGGTTAAAAACAGTTGTGTAGCTGCAACAGCTGAAAGATTTTAACTTCACTATTTTAAATGCACTGATTATTTAAGATGATGTGTGAATGTGTCTATGTTGTGTAGCTAAGCTCTTAGAGTTACCTTTGTGTATGAACTGTGCAACTAAACTGAAGTTTTCGGCCACACGATGGCGCAGTCGCTCGAGCCTTGCACAGAACATGTGGCGGCTGTACCCGGAAGAGCTGCATTACCTGAAGCCTGTTCAAGCTTTTATTGACTTTATCTAAACAATAAAAACAATCTGTAACAAATACATCTTACGGACCGTGCAGCAGCCATGGCGGCTCGGCTCCCGGTGTCTGAACTGGACTGCGGAGCGGGGTAACGTTAACAACCAGAGTCAGAGTCTGATATTAGCATTAGCAACATTAGCTGTTGTTAGCGTTAGAAACATTAGCTGTTGTTAGCATTAGCAACATTAGCTGTTATTAGCATTAGTTTAATAAGCTGTTGTTAGCGTTAGCATCATTAGCTGTTGTTAGCATTAGCATCATTAGCTGTTGTTAGCATTAGCAACATTAGCTGTTGTTAGCATTAGCATCATTAGCTCCTCAGCCTCACACACAGCGGCTTCAGACTGCAGCTCACTCCCTGTGTTTCCTCTGACTGTTTAGTCTGCTGTGTGTCTTTATATTAAACAAGTGTTTGTATTTGACTCATTAACAGAGGGTTGATTAGACAAGATGAAGCTAATTAAGATGAGCCATTACAGCCAACCGCAGTGGGACGTTTCTTTATTCATAGTTATACATTTATCAGAACAAACTTGTATCAGTTCATCAACACACAACTCAACTCTCTCTGGTCCCACCCTCTGGTCTCTCTCTCTGGTCTCTCTCTCTGGTCTCTCTCTCTGGTCTCTCTCTGGTCTCTCTGGACCAGATGACACACAACAGTATTGTAATGGTGTGTTTCTGGTGTTGTCTCTTTTGCAGAAGCCCAATGTTCGGTTCTGTTGGAAACACTGCACTTTCTTCATGTGAGTTTCTCAGTTATTTCACTTTTCTCTCGATGTTTCACCAGGACTGACTTTTCTAAGTGTTTTTAAGGCATTAGGACTCGGATTTAGTAGAAATGGAATCTTGAACATTGGTGCTGACAGAGGCCAGAGCGGCCATGAGAGATGGGTCAAATGCAGACATTTCGACATTGGCTTTTTTCCCTTTGTGAAAATACACAGGAATAAATATAAAAAAACAACCTTTTATTTCAAGGCTACTCTTGAAAAAAGCAGTTCCTTTGAGGCAAAAGCGGTTCTGAAGCATCTGAACAAAGTCTTCAAAGTAAACAATGATAGGTTTGTTATTATACAGTGGCTCTCGGTGTTATTCCCTAAAGCAGATTCTGAACCCTCAGATACATGTGTTCAGTCTGAGCAGTAAAGGGACAAACATGAACTTCAGTCATGTAACATGTCTATGTCCCACTGTCTCCTGCAGGTGTCCTCGTCCCCTCTGTGTCCTCTGTCCCACTGTCTCCTGCAGGTGTCCTCGTCCCCTCTGTGAGTTCTGGTCTGAAGCAGGAAAACCCAGAGAGTCCACAGATCAGCGAGGAGCCAGAGGAACATGGCATCAAACTGGAGGAAGATCTGCTGCAAATGTGAGTCTGTGTCTGTGCTGAAACTGCAGCATGTTTAAAACAATGAGCTGAGCCCAGATCTGTTGTGTGGATGCAGAACTGTGGGAGTGAAGGCAGAAGAACACAGTCTGCTCCAGGAAATCCCACAAAGTCCACAGACTAAAGAGGAGCCAGAGGAAGTGAGGATCAAACACGAGGAGGAGCCGCTGTGAGTCTCTGTCATCATTCTACATATTTACTGATGATTGTCATCAGGTTCACATCAGTGACCAGTTTGTGTTTGTTCCAGTCCTGTGTGTGTGAAGACAGAAGAGTGGTCACTGCCTCAAAGACAAAGTGAGCACAGAGAGGAGACACAGGGAGAAGACATCAGCCCAGAGTCTGAGGGAGACACAGAGCACTCCTCTGACCACCACCAGGATGAAGACCTGCAGCCTCTGTCTTCAGATGATGATGAAGATGGGGATGAAGATGGGGATGCAGACAGCGACCACAGAGTCCGGAGCAGATCAGACATCAGGCCAGACTCAGACGACAAACCATTCAGTTGTTCAGTTTGTAACAAAGTATATTCACAAAAGTACAATCTGACTGAACACATGAGGACGCACACAGGGGACAAACCTTTCAGTTGTTCTTTTTGTAACAAAGAATTCTCCAGACGAGGTTCTCTAAATATACACACAAGGACTCACACAGGAGACAAACCTTACAGCTGTTCTGTCTGTAGTAAAGCCTTTTCGCAACATGCTCATCTCACCGCACATTCGAGGACGCACGCTGGCGAAAAACCTTTCAGCTGTTCAGTTTGCGTCAAATCCTTCTCCCAAAGAGGCTCTCTCACTGAGCACATGATGACACACACTGGAGACAAACCCTTCAGCTGTTCTACATGTAACAAATCCTTTTCAACCAAATACAAACTTACTCTACACACGAGAGCACACACAGGTGAAAAACCATTGACCTGTTCAGTCTGCAACAACTCATTCTCCCAACGGGGAGCACTGACGGAACACATGAAGACACACACAGAGGGCCGACCTTACAGCTGTTCAACCTGTTACAAAGCTTTTACAACAAAGAGATATTTCAAAGAGCATATGAAAACACACACAAAAGACAGACCATACAGCTGTTCATTCTGCGACAAAGCTTTTTCTAAAAAGAATAATATGAACAAACACATGCGGACGCACACAGGTGAGAAGCCGCACATGTGCACAGTCTGTGGAAAGTCATTTTCTGAAAAACGTAAACTCACGACACACGTAAGAACGCACACAGGCGAAAAACCATACAGCTGTTCAGTCTGTGACAAGGCCTTTTCCCTGAAGGGCTCGCTCTCTGATCATATTAGGACACATACTGGGGACAAGCCTTACAGCTGTTCTACATGCAACAAATCATATTCACAAAGATACAAACTGACAGTGCACATGAGGATACACACAGGAGACAGACCGTTCAGCTGTTCTGTCTGTGATAAAACATTTTCTCAAAAGAACATTCTCACTGAACACATGAAGACACACACAGGGGACAAACCTTACAGCTGTCCCTTTTGTAACAAAGCATTTTCCCAAAAGGGTCCACTGACTGTGCACATGAGGATACACACAGGGGACAAACCTTACAGCTGTCCCACGTGTAGCAAAACATTCCCACAAAAGAGTCCCCTCACTGTACACATGAGGGCACACTCAGGGGAAAAACCATTCAGCTGTTCAGTTTGTCCAAAAGCCTTTTCCCAAAGGGGTCATCTGAATGTACACATCAAAACACACGCAGAGAAAAAGCATTTGTCGTACAAAGTGGAAAGTCCTGTTCTTCCCGGGGCAGATTTATACGACACATGATAATATCAATCAATCAAGACTGTTTTTTAAACACAATGAATGCAGTGCAACCCAAAGTGCTTTCCAAAGACCTACAATCACAATAAAACATATGAGATAAAACAAACATTGAATAAAATCAGCAGTCAATGTCCTAATTAAAACTGTCTTTAGCCCAGACTTAAACAATGCCAGAGGCTCCTGTACATCTTTAGTGAAGACTGTTCCAGATACAAAAAATAAAAAATGAAAAACTGTTAATATTTCATGTGTAGCAAACCATTTTCTAAGAATGTCGAGGATATTCTTACTCCAAACACAAAGACCCACATACACAAGACAGACATTAAGGAACAAGAACAAAGTGCTCGGGTGACTGAGCCTTCTGAATCCTGAGAACCACGCTTTTTTATCTCTCTCTGGTTTCTATCTATCTGTCTCTCTCTCTTTCTCTCTCTGGTCGCTCTCCCTGGTTTTTCTCTCTCTCTATGGTGTCCCACAGGCGTCTGTTTTAGGCCCTTTCCTTTTCTAGTTTCACTGGGCCTCATGTATGAAAATTGCGCAGAAATAGGTGTACATTTTGGGTGTAGATCCCAGATACGCAAGATCTTACGTGGCATTTATGAACGTGTGAGATACGCACAGATCTAAGCGTACGCACCTGCGGCTGTTGATAAATGCCGCGCTCAAAACCAGCGTATTTATGAAAGTCACACCTAGAAATATTCAGAAACTGCCTGTTCCACGCCCTGTTTTCGCAACAGGTCAGCAGGAAGTCGGCTAAGAAGGCAAAAAGCACGCACTTTTGAGATTATTCACGTTTAAAAAAACAAAAAAAACCGCTATATTATATATACACTTTTTTCCCTAGTGTCTAGACCCACTGCAGCACTCATCTCTCCTAAAATTTAGAAGTAAATAAATAAATAATAAATTAATGAACTATACTGCTGGTGCGTTGCATCCTATCTTTGCTCTGCGGAGTAAAGGGCAGTGCCTGAGACAGTTTTGAGCAAGATCAGGTGCATTTATGGGGCTTTATGCACAAAACTAAGGAAAACCCACATTGCTTTGCCAGAGGTGAATGAGGCAAAACATATGCGTCATTACGTGTACGGCGCAAGGTCTGCCACAGGTTGTTCATGCACGTGTAAAAATAAATATACGCTATTCATTACGTGTACGGCGCAAGGTCTGCCACAGGTTGTTCATGCACGTGTAAAAATAAATATACGCTATTTATTCAGCTGCGTTTTGAATAAATTTGCAGAAATGTTTTGATAGAAGTGAATAAATAAAGAATTAATGAAGGAATTCATATTGTGCAGCTGTGGCTCTCATCAATGAAGCGTCTGCAGCGTCTTGTGAATGCACTGAAGTGCTGTACACTTGCGAGAGCGTTTGCAGTCCAGATTTTACAGAGAAACTTCTGAATGACAGCATTTGAGGAGTTATGTGGCGCGACCTCTCATGGCACCTGTTGTGGATGCACTCCCAAGAGTGCGCAGCGGGTGGACAGGGCAGTGAGACATTTGGAGTGAGCAATACCATTGTCCATCTGTCCATGCGTTATTGGGATGTGTGTCTGTGTGAGGCTTACACATATCTAATGAAAACATACATTGCTTTACCAGATGTGAATGAGGAATACAAATTCCTCAAATTGCGTAATTACGCAGCGCAGAGCCTGCCACAGCAATAGCTGGGTCACACATCCCTGTCGCGTAAAGTGTATTTGTATAGAACCTTTCACAGTCCAGGATCACAAAGCACTTCACATTTTAAAAACATACAGATCAAAATAATACACACAGAAGTCAGATTTAAAATCATAGAAACAGAAGAGGCTCCTCATCATGATCTGTGATTTATTCGAAGTTTGCGTGTTTCCAGAGTGTTAGACTTTTGCTGATGCACAAATCCAAATTCCGAAACATGATGCTCCATGAAAACGCAGCTTATAACGTTGCCAGAATTTGTTGTCCAAATCTTGAATTTCATGCGTGTTTTGGTGTGTTGTGACGAAGGGTGAACTGAGCGTATACATTTACACCACCTCCTGACTCGGTGTAAATTCTGTGCGTACCGTTCGCTCACATCCAGATTGATAAATGCGGAAAAGTGTAAAAAAAATTGCGTACGCATCGTTTACACCCTGATTTGGCCGTACGCAAGTTTCATACATGAGGCCCAATGTCCTGTTCATGTCAGCGATCCCCAACCTTTTTAGTGCCATGGAACAATTTAACTTCAAACAACATTGTCACAGACCGGCAGCTACACTTTGATTCAGCGCTTCTGTGTCACGATAGCACGACCAATATGTGAGGAGGGAATCCGGTCATTTTCAAAAGAATGCATCGTTCAGACTCGGCTAATAAAACTGTAAGTTTCTGCTTTTCAGACACATTCATAGTTATTTATTTATAATAGTGATTTCATATTTGTTTAAGATGTGTGGTGCATGTGTAGCACTTTGAGCTGGTGTTGTAAATATGATATATGAATAAAATTGACCACAAATGTCTCATGTCCTCAGTATTTACAATCACCAGTGACTTTTCAGAAGGGCGTGTCTGCAGCTTATGTTTAGTCGCTTTAACTGTGTGTAACCCACTTTGGAATTCACATGAATGCAAGGCTCATAAAGATTTGTGATGGGGCCGATCCAGTTCTGGTTCCGTTGGGGTGGCTCGCCATCTAGTGGTCTTCTCCAAAGACGTTCCCAAACCACATTAAAAAAAGACTTTACTTGTATTAAAAGAGACTTATTCATTTCTCGCTCAAGTCATGACAATTTATCGATTTCACTTTTTCAAATGTACAATATATTTCTAATGTACCGTATGTAGTGAATGGGTGGTACTATTTCTTTTGGCGGACTTACACATTGTTTTGTTTCCATGTCATGTGTATGCGCACTGATTTGTTAACTTAAGTTGTCATGGAAACCTTAGCGTCAGTTACCGGTAATTCATCCGTAAACTAACGTTCAAGCTGAAACACATCTCCGAGTCTTTTCCATATTCATTTCTTACTATGTTGTATAAAACACAAATATGATTCTTTACATAAAATGGCAAAACACAACATTAGGATTATTTAAACCCAGTAAACAATATACAATAAACAACAAGCATTTTTGTAGCTCACCGATTCACGTGTACTCCAGAACACAGTGACGTCACGGCTCTGGGTCAGCCCTCGCGCAGGTAACTGCCATGGATCTATGATAATAACTGCCATGGATCTATAATAATAACATGGATCTATAATAATAACTGCCATGGATCTATAATAATAACATGGATCTATTATAGTAACATGGATCTATAATAATAACATGGATCTATAATAATAACTGCCATGGATCTATAATAATAACATGGATCTATAATAATAACATGGATCTATAATAATAACTGCCATGGATCTATTATAGTAACATGGATCTATAATAATAACTGCCATGGATCTATAATAATAACATGGATCTATAATAATAACTGCCATGGATCTATGATAATAACATGGATCTATGATAATAACATGGATCTATAATAATAACATGGATCTATGATAATAACATGGATCTGATAATAACATGGATCTATAATAATAACATATGGATCTATGATAATAACATGGATCTATAATAATAACATGGATCTATAATAATAACATGGATCTATAATAATAACATGGATCTATGATAATAACATGGATCTATAATAATATGGATCTATAATAATAACATTATCATGGATCTATGATAATAACATGGATCAATAATAATAACATGGATCTGATAATAACATGGATCTGATAATAACATGGATCTATAATAATAACATGGATCTATAATAATAACATGGATCTGATAATAACATGGATCTATGATAATAACATGGATCTGATAATAACATGGATCTATAATAACATGGATCTATAATAATAACATGGATCTATAATAATAACATGGATCTATGATAATAATATGGATCTATAATAATAACATGGATCTATAATAATAACATGGATCTATGATAATAACATGGATCTATAATAATAACATGGATCTGATAATAACATGGATCTATAATAATAACATGGATCTATAATAATAACATGGATCTGATAATAACATGGATCTATAATAATAACATGGATCTGATAATAACATGGATCTATAATAATAACATGGATCTATAATAATAACATGGATCTGATGATAACATGGATCTATAATAATAACATGGATCTATAATAATAACATGGATCTGATAATAACATGGATCAATAATAATAACATGGATCTATAATAATAACATGGATCTATGATAATAACATGGATCTATGATAATAACATGGATCTATGATAATAACATGGATCTATAATAATAACATGGATCTATAATAATAACATGGATCTATGATAATAACATGGATCTGATAATAACATGGATCAATAATAATAACATGGATCTATATTAATAACATGGATCTATGATAATAACATGGATCTATAATAATAACTGTCATGGATCTTTAATAATAACATGAATCTATGATCATAACATGGCTCTATGATAATAACATGGATCTATAATAATAACATGGATCTATAATAATAACGCGGATCTATAATAATAACATGGATCTATGATAATAACATGGATCTATAATAATAACATGGATCTATAATAATAACGCGGATCTATAATAATAACATGGATCTATAATAATAACATGGATCTATAATAATAACATGGATCTATAATAATAACATGGATCTGATAATAACATGGATCTATAATAATAACATGGATCTATAATAATAACATGGATCTGATAATAACATGGATCTATAATAATAAAATGGATCTATAATAATAACATGGATCTATAATAATAACATGGATCTGATAATAACATGGATCTATAATAATAACATGGATCTATAATAATAACATGGATCTATAATAATAACATGGATCTGATAATAACATGGATCTATAATAATAACATGGATCTATAATAATAACATGGATCTGATAATAACATGGATCAATAATAATAACATGGATCTTGTAAGGTTAAAACGGAGGACAGGACCGGCCGGGCCTGTTTTCTCTGTGAACCAGTGACCAAATGGAGATAATACTTCACCGCAACTTCAAAGGAACCATGGGGTTCAGCCACAGGAGCATGAGGATTACGGACTCCAGACGGACCCATAAAACAGCAGGATACCCATCTGGTGCCTTTTTCATGTTAACAGAGGAGCTGATACAAATCAGCATTGTCACAATGCATTCCACGGACCAAGGGGTCCACCCGCGGCCCTCTGACGCTCCCTAGCGGACACTGGACGCTACCGCACCCAAGACGAACATTCAAAGGGGACATTACTCAATGATATTAACGTTACGGACCTTACTCGTGTGTTTAATGTCTGTGATGTAAATACACTGTGTGTTTGTACATGTCTTATGATCATTTGCATCAATCCTGTATGTTTCTTTACAAACTGGCTGTGTAAAGGAGTTTGTCCACAGAGAGGGAAGACATGGACACGCCCCTTCAGAAGTCAATATAAGCACCCGCAAAGCATTGTTCTTTCTCTTGTTTTCCCCGAATCCACTATAACAACCACCCGTGGGTACGTGTTCCCTACACGGCCTGCGCTCGCAACCTCCCTCTCAGCCCTGCGGCCACGCAAGTACGCGCCTCCAGCAACGACTGTGCCGTCCGCCCCGAGGCCTCCCGCTTCCACGCAAGCCTCCTTTCTGGTTGGAATCTACGAACTGTTCATCACCAGCCTCTCTCCTTGGCTCGCGTGCACCCAGCAGCTAGACGGTCCAACTCTGTAATTCTAAATTCCATTCTTTGTAATCAATCATCTATAACCCACTGACACTGATATTAATTTTAACCTTGCACTACTTGATGTCAGATCACTATGCAACAAAACATTTTTAATTAATAATTGTATTTTGTTCGTATGAACTTGATTTTATGTTAATGACTGAAACATGGCTTGACCATAAACGGAGATGCATTGTTTTTAATAGAAAGCCTCACCACCATATTTCAAATTTGAATAAGAACACACGAGAATAAAAGGGGGGGGGCAATAGCAGCAGTTTTTTAAAGATCGTATGTCCCTCCCATAGAGTGTTCCTTGGGAAATTTTCATCAACTGGAGTATGTTACTTTTCAAAACTAGAACACAACGAAATTACTCTCCATTCTTATTAGTTGTATGTGTTCCAAAGCCGCCACCGTCAAGTCCATAAGATTCACTGATCAATTCACTGAGTTGCCTTTCCGTATGTGTGCACAGATATTGATGGGTTTAGATCAATATCGGCGATTTACATATACATGAGGAAAATGTTCCTGCACAGATACGCAAAAGAAGCAGAGTTCCATACTTGAATCCTTTGGCCTCACACTAGCAAGTGAGTGGCCCACCCATAGCAGAGGTCACCACCCTGGACCTGCTTTATACCACGGACGGGGTGAAAAATTCAAAAGTTAAATGTCGTATGATGTTTGCAATACTTGTCGGATCATTTAGAGATATTTTCATCATGTGTTTAGCTACCCAGACCTCCCGCCTAACTATGAAATTGGTGCAGACAGCCATACTTAAATGCCAACCACGGGTGAAACAATTAAAAGGAATGATCCATATTTGGTGCACCTTGTGGCGATAAGATGTACTATTTTTCACGCAGTCTGCGTGATTCCCGAGAAGCGTGAATGAAGACGACAAAACGGAATGGGACCTACTGTATGCAACTGCTTCGAGTGTGTTCGCCAATGCAGAAATACCGTTTAATAATATGAAAAAATGCATGGCGCACCTCCGTGAACACATACTGCTGTTATATAAAGCCCGTGGAAGGTCTCTGTTCAAAGACACGCTGCAAAGCTGCATATTGGAGAAGATCTGTACACAAGAAGCCGCTAGCATAGCTCTGTTAGCATCAGAGCCGGCCGGCTACTTCCGGCACTTCCGGTGCGCGTCAGGACATCTCGGTGTGAAGACCTCTGTGTCTGAAAACTAGAGAATGCGCGTCCGGTGAGCGGGTGCTTCAGCGTTTTAGCGTTGGCGGTCTGAAAGCACCGTAAAACATGATAGTGATGGCTTTAGACCACACCACAGTACTGAGACCGCTCTAGTCAAGGTAACAAATGATATTCGGCTTAACACTGATGCAGGAAAAGTCTCTGTTTTAGTCATGTTAGATCTGAGTGCCGCTTTCGACACCGTTGACCATGAGATTCTCATGCAGAGACTGGAGGACTGGGTTGGTGTTGCTGGTACCGCCCTAAGCTGGTTTAGGTCCTATCTAGAAGAAAGGAAGTATTGTGTGGAGATTGGAGACTATGTCTCAGATAATATGGCCCTGACCTGCGGAGTGCCACAGGGGTCGATTCTGGGACCTCTCCTGTTCAATATTTACATGCTGCCATTAGGTCAGGTAATTCAAAGTATGAAAGTGTCCTACCACAATTACGCTGATGACACTCAGATCTATGTCTCACTGACTGCAGGAGAGCATGGACCGGTGGACTCACTCCTTCGCTGTATCCAGCGGATCAGTGAGTGGATGCAATGCAATTTTCTCCAGCTAAATGCGGACAAGACCGAAATGATTGTCTTTGGTCCCGAGAAACAAAGAGAGACCGTCATTTGTCACCTTCAGTCTCTCTCCCTGGGGCCTTTAAATAAGGTCAGAAATCTGGGAGTAATAATGGACTCTGACTTAAACTTCAATAGCCACATTGGATCGGTAACATCAGCAGCTTTTTATCATCTGAAAAATATTGCCAAAATTAAAAATATTGTGTCCAGGGCAGACTTGGAGATTCTTATCCATTCTTTTGTTTCCAGTAGGCTGGATTACTGCAATGGCCTGCTCACAGGTATCTCCAAACATGCAGTAAAACAGCTGCAGTATATTCAAAATGCTGCAGCCCGAGTCCTGACTAGAACCAGGAAGTACGACCACATTAGTCCGGTCCTCAGGTCTCTGCACTGGCTTCCCGTGGCCCAGAGGATAGACTTTAAAGCAGCTCTCCTGGTGTACAAGTCTCTCCATGGCCTTGCACCAAAGTACATCCATGATATGCTAGTCCCATATGAACCAGCCCGGACTCTGAGGAGCGCAGGGACGGGACTCCTGTTAGTGCCCAGAGTCAGGACTAGACAGGGGGAGGCTTGCCTGGCCTGCCAAACGATATGCTTTTTCAAAGACATATAGTCTGGGAACGAGCTTGATCTCTGCGAATTCCCGGTGGGCGTGGTTGACAGACTGCATCAACCAATTAGATGCACACAGAATATGACGCAGCAACTAGCGGCACCCAAGCCGTTTCAGTAAACACAAAATAAGGGATGGTGGCATGTCAGCTAGTCCAAATGTAAACGACTGCTGTCGATTTTGTAAAAAAAACTTAAAGATACGAGGAGTTATTAGCAACTCAATTCCGTTGTTTGTTCCAAGCAGAAGTGACAAGCTACTTGTTGAAAGAGTGGCGGATTTGGGTTTGTTCCTATCCCCAAATCCCAATCGGTCAATACGAGCGTGCAACGTGTGTTTCAATGTGGTTTGTCGTTTGGAACGGGACATCAAGTCTTTGAATACTTGGCGACAGCAAGAAGATGAAGCACGAAAAGGTGAAGCACAAGCGCAATCTACTTCGAGTGAAACGCAATCTACTTCGAGTGAAACGCAATCTACATCTAGTGACAAAAGAGGCCGTACACCGGCAAAAACGCCGAGGGCTGCGAAGAAACTTTGTCGTGGCCAATCGACACTCGCACGGAAAAGTATTACGCAGGTAACATGTTTTTCATCATATTTTAATTCTGTATTCCTTTCGTGACTACGTAACGCTTAAGGGTACATTCAATCTTTTTGTTAGCCTACACAATTGCATATAGGGAGGATCGCTGTTATTGTTTATTTCACCGGATGTTTTGGTGACTGGTGGGCAAACAGCTGATTTTTCCGAGCTTGAAGAGCTGTTTATTTATATCACAGATATTTTACAGCACGGATCTTTTCACAGATGCAATGCTCTGTTTGTGAGCGATGTTTTGACCCACCATAGAACTATTAATATCTATTGAATACATTTGCGTTGCCCACCAGTGCCTCGGACGTGACGACAGGGCGATCCCCCTCATAGACAATGACATGTGGTCCATTGACACATTTGTAACATTTCAAACGTCCATTAATTTAAGTACTTTCTGTGTGTCTTTGTTTATTTTAGGTTATCTCGACGTTTCCAAGTAAAACTGTGGTGAAAAACTCGTCCCCAGAAGAAGCAGGCATCATTCAGCATGTAACGAATCAAAACTGGAAAACTGCAGCCAATTTAATATCGTCCCATCCGCATCTTATGGAGGAAATTAAAAAGCACATTGTTCAGATGGTAAATGCAGAATGCGAAACACTTGCAAAGCGTGAGCATGGATTTATGCTATGGAAAACGACACCAGAGGACCTGCGGTCATTTTCTTTTGATAAGCTACAACTGGATTTTGAGCGTCTTTCACCATTTGTTTGGTCTATTTTTAAAAATATTGGCTACAAAAGTCTGCACACTGCTTGTGCTGCTATTTGCATAGCACTTAGAGGAAGATGTCCCCAAATGTCAGCATTTTCTTATTATGTAAATACCATACTACAGCATGGTGGAACCAAAAAAGCTGCGTTTAACAGACTGTGCAAACTGGGAATAACAACATCCTATCAACATGCTGTTGGAAAGCAGAAAGACTTGGCATCAAGATGTGGAGAAGATCTTCTAACCCTCAAAGTTGAAAATGAAGTTTTTCTACATTCTCAATCTGAAAGACACTTGCTGCTAGATGACATGCACAAAAGGATGGAGAATATAACTTTGTCAGGTGAGATGTTTCTTCCTAGATACACATATAAAGAATCAATAGAATTAATTCAAATACTGTGCTAAATTGTCATGTATTTTTTTATATTACTCAACAGAAGGACATAATGAAAGAAGCGTATTGCAGTGCGGCAAAGAAGATTTGGAAACATTGCCTTTCATGCAAGTGACAGTTCTTGAAGCGTCAGACTCCACTCCCACATTGTCCACTACACTTGAAGCTCTACCACCCACCTTCACATTACTGTTTGACAACATTGATTTCCACATGAAGGCTCACCACCAGTCTGTCCTTCACACCAACAAGTCAATACACTGGATTCACCATATTGCAGTGGAGGATCGTGTACACATAAATCACCTTGCCAATGGACGGCCAGATACAGACATCTCAACTTATGATCTCAGCCAGTCATTGCCAGGACCTGAAATCCAGCAACATCTACGTAGAGAATTTATTGTGTTGGGAAGCCGAGCCCTCACTCAATATTTGAGTTCTTTTAAGCCATTGGCAAGTGCGGTCGTGAGGCATATCCCCCATGAATACTCAGAGGAAATGTCCCAAAGATCAAAAGATGTAAGTGAAACTTGTCAACATAATAATATTCCATGTCTTGTTCTTCTAAAAGCTTTGTGTTTCTATTATTTAGTACCCTCTTGGACTTATCTTTAAGTCCGAAACAAATACGGGGGATCTGGTGGATGTTCTTGAGCATCTCCAAAAGGAGTAAGTTAATTGGGCAAATTCAACAAATGTAGGGAAGAAAATATTTATTGGTCAACTAAAAATATGAATGTCTTTAAAGGTATGTTCCAGAGGGCCCAGGCGGATTGTCAACTGTGTTAGTTGGAGGTGACCGGTTGACAGAGGGTTGCTGTCGCAATATTCAATGGGCATTTGCAGATGGAGCAAAAGAGGCAGACCGCCTCGAAGGTCTTA